TGGAAATTATGATCAAAGTTCCAAAGAAAAATTTTTTCGTCTTCCTCGAATACCAGAAGAAAGAAAAAGGTGGTTGGCAGTTATACTGCCAACCACCTTTTTCTTTCTTTAAGAGACAATATACCAGATAAAAAAGACACCGTAGTTTGTGAAAGGCACTGGCCTGTTGGATACGTTTTAACAAAAGACTATGGGAAAGAAAGACCTCGTGATCCTCCATCTGTATTTACGTAAAATCAAGTTTAATACCTTCACCATCTGGTTGTCTCAGAACTACTTTAGGATCACATGCAGAATCTAGAAATGTTCAACCTGACGAATTGTCAGCTTTCAATTTAAAAGATGTTATAAAATCAATTAATGATTTGAAAACGAAACAATCAAGTATTAATTCAATCATTAGAGTTCTTTCATAACACCGATGTGCCATTATTTAATCTAAAAATAAATAATAATTTTCAGTACGAAGCATTTCACTGTGGAATCAAGTGTGTAATAAAAACACTATCGCAGAACAGAATTACCATATTAAATAGATGGTCGCATATTGTAGAAGCAGTTCGATTTTTAAATGCTTACGAGATAAGCAGTAAAAAAATACCTTGGTACAAAAGATAACATTGGCGTACCTTGGTGTACAAAAGATAACATTTATCTTTTATATGATTTTGTGCACCTTTTAAAAAATATTCACAATAATTGGATAACTGAAAAGACTCAAGAACTTGAGTTTTATGTTAATAAGGAAAAAAAAGTTGCCAAATGGTCTCACATTGTAGCATTGCATAAATTAGAATCAAATCAAATGATTAAAATCTCTAAACTTACTGGTGTTGCTGTATTCCCCAAACCAATTGAAAGACAAAAAGTTTCTACTTGTCTAAAAGGGGCGCTACAACGTTGGATAGGGGTAGAAAATAGGCTAGTGTTTATATAAAGGTCTTTTTAATTTGAATATGAATAGGTAAAACAATGTTACACTTTCAAAGTTCAAGGTTCATTCAGGCTTACAATATAATTTAGTATGTCATTTTACTTATGTATGAAATATACATGATAATTATGTAGACAATGATAATAATAATAATAATAATAATAATAATAACAATAATAATAATAATAATAATAATAATAATAATAATAATAATAATAATAATAATAATAACAATAATAGCAATAATAGCAATAATAGCAATAGCAATAATAATAATAATAACCGAATTTTTATTTTAAGCAAAAAAAAACTTGTTTTAAGCAATTTTTCACTTAAATCAAGCAAATTTTTACTTGTCAGTATGGTAAGCAATTTTTTTCTTAAAACAAGTTTTTTTTTGTTTAAAATAAGATTTCATTTTAAAATGAATTCTTATTTTAAGTAAAAAAGATCTTGTTTTAAGCAATTTTTTACTTAAAACAAGCAAATTTTTATTTGTCAGTATGGTAAGCAATTTTTTTCTTAAAATAAGAATTCATTTTTGGAGTGTATACTGTAACTGACTACAATCTACGAATGTAATTTATAGAAGAAACATCTTTGATAACTCTACGGAATCCTTACACAAATAGGCAATTACGTCCTCAACTGCAATTGAATCCAAAATGTCCTTCTCGGTCGACATCAACATAAATGTTTCAAGCTTGTCACTACATAATGAGGAACGCAGCCTAGTTTTAACAATTTTTAATTTACTAAATGCCCGTTCACAGCTCACTTGTGAGAATGAAAGTATTAATAGATATTCGTAAGTCAGAAACAGATTTGAATAAGCAGTTGCATTCAACGAATATTTGTATAGAATACTATAGCAACATTTTAAACATTTTTTACAAAACCCTACACAACGCTTAAAGTTATTAAAATCTCTATCATTCTCATTTTCAGTTGCTTTTGTTGAAGTATCCAACTCTGAGACTGAATTCGATTCTTCTGAACCTTTGTCACTAGGACTCACTGTAAATTCATCTTGTAGTGTTTTTGAGAGCCTATCAAAATTTATAGCAAAGCTATGCAATTCAGATCTCAATCTTTCAGAACAAAGTTTAGTTAGTTAAGAAATTTTTGCAAGACTGTTTTCTGGAATACCATTTTCAACAATTTCTTTAAAACGTCTGGGATCTAAATGATGAGTTCTTTTGGGTCTAGTTTAAACTATCATTTAGTAAAGTAAACAGCATGAGAAAAACTAATTCACGTGAGTATTTGTTAAAGTCAAAAAATATTTATCTGTCCTCCCCTAAAATATTTCTGAATTCGCCCCTGATATAAATGATACTTCAATTGTATTGTGAGAAAGTGAAGGATCATGAACTTGCACTTGAAGCAGTAACACTAAATGGTTTTATAGTTATTAATTATATGTTACATGTGGTATTATGGAGATGTACAACTTATGATTTGGAAGGGAGGGGGCGCCAAGGATGGTGGGGCGCACCGGGAAATTTCCCGGTCTCCGGTGGGCCAGTCCGCGCCTGGTCTGTGCCTTAAAATTTCATCCAGGCTTGAAAAATATTGATAATACTATTTCATTTCTTTCAATAATAATTGAATTTTGGAGAATTGTTAATGTTCATAGCCCTTATGCAGATATACGTATGCGTGATCTAAACCGAGCTGCAATTTTTTCTTCTGGTGATTTTAATCTTCAAAAGCTGTTAGAATTTGGAAACTCAGCTAAACAAATGTGTTCTTCTCAAAAGGTTCGTTGTAAAAGTTTCACAAAAGATACTTCTAAAAGTCTCTATCATACATGCAATGGTCTTGTTGAGTTGTCAAAGTTTCTCTTGTCTACAAATCATAAATATGTTTTGCTTGGAACATTTACCACTGATCTTTTAGAAAAACAGTTTGGGAAACTCAGGCAAGGATCAGGTGGTACATATTTTATTACTGTACAACAAATATTAGAGAAAGTTGGTATTATATAGACAAAACTACTTTTGCAATTAGACAATAATGGTGATACTACACCAGGGCATTCTTGTGAAAGATGTGGTTTTTACATGAACAAAGAGAAATGTTTGATATTTGATAACTTACCAGAATTAGAAAATATATTATCTATACATGTTAAAATGAGTCTGATTTATATAGCTGGGTATGTTGTCCGAAATGATGTAGATTCAGATGACTCATACTTTTATTATGAGAAATTCAAATATTTTACTGACGAAATCAATCGTGGAGGATTAACTGTACCTGGTGATTTTGTATGTCAATGAGTTATATATTGTTATGTTATGTTTCGTGAAGTGGCTGATAACACATTCATTTCTTCTTTATGCAATCTAATGATGCTTATTTCAGAATCATATTAACTGAATATGAATAGAAAACATGGTGTTATACTTTCGAACATATTCTTTAAAAACTATTGTAGTTTGTATTCACCAAGATCAGAAAAAAAACCAAAACAAAAAATTTTGAAACTTAGTGTTAAATAACATTGTTATTTAACACTGAGTTTCAAAAAAAAATCCAACATAAAATACTGTTTCTGTTTTAAAAAATTTAAATAAAAATAATATGATGAAGAATGATGGTGAAGGTATTCAACTTGGTTTTACTTGGTTTTTATGGTTCGTAAAATAAATGATAATTTGTAAAAATTTATACATAAATTTTTAAAAATTCATGTATAAATTTATTTATAGATATATTTGTAAAAAAATCTATTTATTATTTTTTTGATTGAAAATTAAATTTCAAATTTAATTCATGTTAATAGTGTTTTTTCTGTTCTAAAAACTCGCCTCCAGTTTATGACGTCATCTTCACGGTGAATAGGCCTGTTATAAAGTACGCCAAGATCCAATTTTATGTGGAAAAAACATTATGTTTTTTATTCTAACTGGTTATGTAATAATTGGGTCTCAGCAAGACTAGATTAGTGTTACAAACTTGTTTTATTAATTATACATTCTAAAATACCTATTTGTAAAATTTTGTAAATAAAATTTATATTTTTATATAGTTAAAACATAAAAAATATTGATATTTATTCATATATAATATAAGAAAACCTGAAGTTAGCTAATCCTAATAATTTATATACACAGAAAGGTTAAAACCCAGGGTTTCTTTTTATATGGATTATGTAGTAGTTTCATGAAATATAAAATAGAGTCTTGAAATGGCATAAAAATACTTAAAATTAGTAATTGGGAATGTGTTGAATTTTTAAATGCATAAAATAATTTTTAATCAGACTGCTATATTAATATTATTCTAGTTATAACATTGATGCTTCGAGAAAAGTTACTTAAGCTAGTAACTATGTAAAATGAAGCATCAGCATTTTAGGTGTCACTATCAACCAAATTAAAAATCCATAGTACCACTACATTTGTAGTATCAAAATACTCAATGTGGTAATTATGGGAGAAATCCAATATAGTACTTTTTCTACTTTATATTTGTTAAGGTAATAAAATATGTGTTTGTTAAGCAATTTAGGTCTCCATAGTAACCCAAAGTTAAAAATGTCACCATTAAAACCGCAATCCTCAAATTACTAAGCAGTGCAAAAATGGTTCTTAAATCATTTTTATATGACGAGTTATTAGTTTTGTCCAGTAAAAGTGATTTCTGGCCCGTGAATTGCCAAATGCCGGCCCTAATTCCGAGTGCCGAATAGTACATATATGTGTTACATTATATCATATTATACATTATCCTCGTATCCTTATTCATTATGTCCTAGCTCAAGCTAATAACCCCTGCTAATACTGTTTAGCTCAATAAATACTCAAAATGAGGTGTTCAAATAAATCTTGTTTGAAACAGACTAAACAGAATGTCATCAAGGTTAAAACTTACGTTCTATACACTTTTATTCATTTATCTAAATATATCTTTTCAACTATATAATGTGGAATTAAGGGTACTGTGAGTTACATAGAAACTTAAATAAATTTATAACTTTCATTCATCACATTTAACTCCGATGCTGCGCTTAACCGCTAGTAAATGACAACACACTGTTGACAAAGAACAAGTGTAGTTTTCATTTGGGTATATTTCACATGCACGTAGCCATCAGGTGGAGAAATTGTAAAAACCTTATGGTTTATAACACGAACTATGTTGAATTTGTTAAAAGTACACGTATAGATGGATGTATGCGTTCACACATTAGTATATTGGCTGCAGCTTACAGCTCTGCAATAACAAATTCTGGACCCTCTACTTTAGATATGTCATCCGTGTTATCTAAAAAATTATTTAAATCAGTTTCATTTAAATTCAAAACATCATTTTTGATTGGTAACAACGTTTTGTGAATAATCCTATAATCAAATAAAAAGCATTAAGCAAAAAGTTTTGAAATAATTAAACTATTATATACTAAAAGTTACATAACGAATAGAAGACTGCTATCAATGAAAGTGTACAATCCAAAGCCAAGACAACTTCGCTTGATGAACAGATGTTCTGAAGACGATGCATGGCAACAATCATTGAATCTATTGGCACCTCTTTTCCAAATTTTAAAATTTTTTAATTACAGAATTTAATAAATCAGATATATTATTTGTAATATAATTAATCAAACCAAGATTCTTAGATGACCAATGTAGGCTATTAAAATGCAAGAATACAATTGGTCTGAAAAAAAAGAATCCCGCATTCCACGATGGTCTCAAAGTGTCAATTTTAACTTTTAAATGTCCTTCATTTAAGAAGTTCTTGCATTTGAGATTTATATATAACTATTTCATTGTGACAAGCATCTTGTTTTTTAGCCAAAACTCAACATCAGTTATTTGATTTGAGTAAGTTACCAGATTCTAATTTGGTAACACTTTTTTAACAGCTTTGCTCATTTCAGTCTCACCAACTGTTACAACTAGAACCTGATTATAAATTCGTATTTTACTTTTAAACCTTTTAAAGAAACGTTTATGAACATTATCAAACTTCCTTTCATGCATCACAAATGCTGCAGGCATGCAAGGCTTCTAAACTAAACAACTCATTTGAGCCACTAGAATTGATAAATAAAAATCTTCTAAAGTAAATGTTGAATCGTAAGAAAAAAAAACATGAGCACAAAACGTTGATCAATTAAATGTTGCATCCCAAATAACACTGACAAGTCAGGATAGTTGGATATGACCTATACAAACCCTGGAGCCATATATGCGAACTCATGAATAGTTTTTTATTTACTTGTCTTGAGTTTTTTGGTTGGAAATGGGTCTCGTTCTGATTTGAATCGACAAGAAGGTCCTTATAACTGTGTCAACAATAGCGCCACAGATGAAGCCATAGATAAAAAATTGATTGATTTTCTGGAACTGCCTGAAATGTAAATTGAAAGAAACTATTGACAGAAATACAAAAGTACTAAAACTATCAAAGCATTAAAAAACAACATTTTTTTAAATTATATATTAGTTCCTACAGTTTAACATTGATATTAATTGGTTTTTAATGATATTAATTTTTTAACTAAAATGACATAATGAATTTTAAACAATTTTTTAAATTGAATTTTACTTCAAACCTACTTTACAGAACAAGTATTTTTACCATTATATATAAGAGTTTTTCATCTCCATGGTGAGTTGCATTTTTATGGTAAGAAGCCTGACCTGCCACATAAGTATTCTATTAATAGTTGGTAGTATTTTATATACTCAGTTATTTAGATAAGCTATTCAAATTTTAAAATGAAAATAATAAGCAGTAAAACCCTCAGTCGAACCCTCCTTGCATGTTCTCCCTATTAACCATTTGATGTAGCAGCACTCCTCGGATTTTTAACTAATTATCAGCTAATGTAGCAGCACTTCTTGAACATTCTACCTATTTGTCAGTCAATGTATGTAAACAGTAAAAAAATTAAACAAAAAAAAACAAGACAACATGCTTCTATTTTTATTCTGAAAAATAAAAATTTTTTAGTCTATTAATTTGCATTTTTGTGGTTTTTTAAAAACAATAAAATTTAAATAGATTCCTAAATTAACTTTAATGGCTTTAACATAAAGTGCACACGATTTTGTAATTTTTAAAGATAAAGAGTTGTTAAGAGCTATTTTTAACCACAAACGGTAAAGTTAAAGCCTTTACTATAGAAATGAATATATAAATATATAAATATATATATATATATATATATATATATATATATATATATATATATATATATATATAAATATATATATATATATATATATATATATATATATATATATATATAAATAAATATATATATATATATATATATATATATATATATATATATATATATACATATATATATATATATATATGAATATATATAGGAATATTATACACACACACACATATATATTCATATATATGGTGTGTGTGTATAATATATGGTGTATCTTAAAAGTAATTGAACATAAATATAAGGTGATTATTAAAGTTATTATGCAAAACATGAAAATTGTTGCTATTCTGAAAAGAGTTTTAAAATTTTTCAAAAAGCATAATAAAAAATTGTTGCAATTTTCGCTTGAATGAGCTGCAAAGAATTATTTATTTAATGTGGATAAAAAACACAATGTTTTTGGTAGGTCTTTGTCTTTAGAGGGATAGATCTAATGTCAGAACTTAATCTTATCTTTCACTATTTTCTCTAGAATAAGTTGACTTGTTATTTCAAATTGAAAAATTATGTCATTCTCAGCTTTGGTCAAACAAAATGTTTACAATTTTTCAACAAACAGCCTTGGCTTTTTATTATGTCTAAGGCCTTAACTTTGGCATTGCACTTTGCTGCCTTGTCCTTGGTATGTAAGGCCTTGTTAACAACTTTGTCTCATAAAAAAAGTTATATTAAATCATATTACTTATAAAATTGCATTTTTTAAAATACTATTTATTGATATATTAAGAAATTTGTATGTGTGATACTCCTATCATTTTATGTGAATAGAGTTTTTTAGAACAGAAACAAAAAAACAAAAAAACAAAAAAATCTTATTTTAAGTAAAATAGTGGTTTGCCCAAAAAAAGTAAAATGAATTATTTGTTAATAGAATTTGATTTCATTTTTAAGCTAATTATCAATTTATTAAGAACTATTAATTCATTATTTAAAGGTGTCTTACTGTAAGGCGGACTTTCGTGATTTTCCCTCATAATCTTTTACATGTTTCCTTTATTTTTATTTAAATTCTCTTATTAAATAGAAGATAGTGTGAGATTGCTATAAAGTCTTTCCTCCTGATTTATAAATTTAGTCTTATCTTTCCCTAAATTTAACTTTACTTAAGACATACTTCAGGTATTTAAAAAAATTATGATGCTACTAACCTTTCCCATTATTTTCATTTGGATGACATAAACTTCACCTGCCTAAGGATTGTTAAGAGCATTTAGCCTACTATTATTATCACTTTTAAATATAAGATCCTCAATAACCTCTCTCTTAAAATGAATAAAATAACTTAACAAAACTTGACAAATATTTCTGTAAGAACCGCGTTTGATGTCGAAGTAAAATCAATCCGCATCGTTAATTCACCCCGTACCTTAATTATTTGTCATCCGGGATTCACCAAAATCAATACTGCAAACATTTCGTGAAAATATTACATGTCTCTACATTGTAAACATTTTGAGCGTCGCTACGCAGAAGGCTCAAATATAAATCAGTGTCAATAAAATCAAATAAAAAAATTTGAAATATTTACAAAGTTGTTTTGTATTTTAAAGTAGCTTGAGTGCTTTAGTGTGTTATGCCAAGTAAAAATGAAATTATTGGATTATGTTGTGCAACTTGTATATTTCTTTGTAAATCTCAAATCCATTCTTGATAAAATCTAGCTAGTTTCAAGAAAAATCCCAAAAAATATTTACTACTTATTTTTATCATCGTTTCCTTAGTTCGAAATTATTTAAAAATTATTTGTAGACAACACTTGAGTAGTCAATTTTAGAAGTTAATTTATAATTATTGTAAGTTTTATTATATATATATATATATATATATATATATATATATATATATATATATATATATATATATATATATATATATATATATATATATATATATATATATATATATATAAAAATCCTACAGTTACGCGGCCTAAAATAATTTTATTTTTCCGCTTGTCAGTAGAGGCTTTACAAACAATAGGAATATAGTTTATATATATATATATATATATATATATATATATATATATATATATATATATATATATATATATATATATATATATATATATATATATATATATATGTATATATATATATATATATATATATATATATATATATATATAATATATATAATATATATATATATATATATATAGGCTCACCAAATGTCTGGTTTTGAACAGGATTGTCTCGGTTTTATACCATCTGTTCAGTGTCCCAATGGTTTTTATTTTGTCTTGTTTTTTAAATTTAAAATAGCAATAAGTAGTTGTAATTTTAAAAAAAATGTACTTGTTTGTAAAAAAACCTATTGGTGGAGACAACAAAGTGATGTTTCAACAATGTGAAACAAATTTTTTTTTACACATTGTTGACAAGCAGACATTAAAAATCATTTTAAATGGTAAGCCTATATATATATATATATATATATATATATATATATATATATATATATATATATATATATATATATATATATATATATATATATATATATATATATATATATATATATATATATATATATATATATATATATATATACATCACTGGGCTGTTTCTCAAAGAAATTTATCTGTCAATTAGGGTAAAATCTATCGTCATGTGCAGCAAGAGACTGAAATTCCTCATAATACAGTATCCAACATAATGAAGAAGTAGAATTTGATTGGAACAACAGCCACAAATGAAAGGCAGGGTCGCAAAAAACAGACTTTTAGAAGTTTTGATAAAAACTTAATTATACAAATCAAGAAAAATCACTTTATTTCTGCTCGAAAACTGGCTGAGCAAACTGAAGAAAGTTATGGAATCAAATTATCCCATTAGACAATCAGAAATCATATCCGAGACCAGGGATTTCAAGGATGACTTATGCGTCATAAACCATATTTGAGTAAGAAACGCATGAAAAGAAGATTAGAGTTTGCTAAGAAGTTCAAAAACATGCAGTTATGTTTCTGGAAAAAGATCCTGTGGAGTGACGAATCAAAATTCAACTTTCATCTGATGGAGCCCAAAAAGTTTCTAGAAAAGCCGGAGAAGCATACAAGTTGAGCTGCGTGAGAGGAACTGTCAAGTATGGTGGCAGTAATGTAATGGTATGGGGTTCAATGACTTGGAAGGGTGTCCAAAAACTCCAATTTATTGATATTATAATGGATCAGGTGTAATACAGAAAAATATTAAAGCAAAATTTGAAGTCATCTGCTCGAAAATTTTGGCTAAGATTTACATTTCAGCAAGATAACGATCTCAAGCATAGTGCCACTAAAGTCAAGGAGTGGTTTGCTGGAAATAATGTTGAGGTCTTGTAATGGCTCACACAATCACCGGACCTTAATCCCATTAAACATTTGTGGGAAATTTTAGACCGAAAAATTAGAGATTAGTCATTTTCCAAAAAAGATAACCTCAAAGTGGCAATTGGGAAAAGATTCAACCAAAAGAAGCAAAATCTTGAATTCAATCCTAGATGTCTAGAGGTTGTAATCCAAGCAAAGAGATTAAGAAGCAAAGTATTAAAATAATTGTTTTATTATTAATTAATTTACTATGAAACAAAAAATGTGTTTGGTCAAATATTTTTTTGACAATAAAAAAACATCCTAAGTTCCTTTATTTTAAGAATGAAAACTTTGTGATTCATATTTTACACTAAAATAAATAAAATGTATTTAAAAACATGCTCTTTTATTTTTATTGTTTAGTTTACCAAAAAAGTCTAAATTTACAAAAAGCACTTTTTTTAAGAAAAATATTTAAAAAAATGTTTAGTCTGATATTTTTTTGAGACATGTATATATATATATATATATATATATATATATATATATATATATATATATATATATATATATATATATATATATATATATATATATATATATATATATATGTATGTGTATATATATATATATATATATATATATATATATATATATATACACACACACACATCAGTATTTACATTTAATAAAAGTATTCATAATAGTGGTTTTTTTAGTTTAAAAAAAGTTGATGTTATGCTGCTGAAGCACATAAAAACAATTTTTCCACCACAGGTAATTATAACAAGATGTATTTATTTTTTTGATTGTTGTACTTTGATTTATTTTTAAATTATGTGTACTATATATACGCTTTAAATGATATTTAAAGGATGGTGCTGCTAAAGTTACTGCAATGTGCTGGTCACCTAACAATAAAAAAATGGCTGTTGTTTCTACTGATAGAGTTATTTCATTTTTTGATGATACTGGAGAAATGAGAGATAAGTTTGGTGCAAAACCAGGAGAACCTAAGGTTTATAAAGATTAAAAAACTTGCCTCCCTCTCTCTCTCTTTCTATATATATATATATATATATATATATATATATATATATATATATATATATATATATATATATATATATATATATATATATATATATATATATATATACATATACATATATTTATGATGAAAAGGTATAAAAACTGTATAATATTATATAGTTATATGTATTATATGATAATAATAGTTGCAATACAAATTCTTGTGTTTTCATTTCATGTTTTCTAAGATAAAGTAATATAGTGTGCTATTTTGCTATAATTTAGACTGGAAAGAAAGGTTTTTTAGTTAAAGGTCTTGCTTTTTCACCAGATTCAACAAAAATTGCATTAGGCCAGTCTGACAACATAGTATTTGTTTATAAAATAGGGGAAGAATGGTAAATCAATTTTAAAAATATATATTTTAAATTAGTAGCAATTTTAAATGAAAATATTGTTTAAAAAAAGTCTAAAATGATGTGCCAATAATTTTCTAGGGGAGACAGAAAAGTAATTTGCAATAAATTTATACAAACGGTAATATACTTGTTTTTATTTAAATAAATCTCATGTTTTTTAATTTTTAGTATTACACTAAATAATGTAAATTTTTAGTAATATTGAAGCATTTTTTTGTTGATAGAGTGCAGTAACATGTCTAATATGGCCTCCAGAATCTAAATTTATTATTTTTGGTCTTGCTGATGGAAAGGTATATAAACTTTTTTTTTAACTATTTTTTGAGTTTTAGAGTAGTCTATATCAATTAATATATATATATATATATATATATATATATATATATATATATATATATATATATATATATATATATATATATATATATATATATATATATATATATATATATATATATATATACATACATACATACAGTATTGTGCAAATTAGTTTGGACAGTGGCAAAATTGGAATAATTTTCACAATATGCCCAACTTTTAGCTATGATACTAAAGATTCTCTTGTTTTTTCAGATAAATAAGTGTTTTACTGTAGTCTAGTGGTGTCTGGCAACTCTTTGCTGCCGGGAAGGCATTCTAGCAAACACATCAGTGGCTTCAGTGCTACTCCAGGCTTTGTGCAGAAAGGTTGTGATGGAGGTTGTGACGGATTATTCATCTTGTATTCACAATGAATATCACTCACAAGAAACGTGCAAGCATTATAGCTCTTAAAGAACATGCTGATTTGAGCATTAGACAGATTTCTAAGAAAATGAAGGTGGCTAAGTCAACCGTTGGTGACATCTTGAAAAGACTTATTTTCTTGAAAAGAAAAAAAGATACTGGTGAATCTTCAACACTGCAACAAGGAAGATTTGAAAGAAAACGCAAGACAAGACCTCGCGATGATACAGTTATTATCAGAGAAAGTATAAAGGATCCTAAGAAAACAAGTGCAGACCTTTAGAGAGATTTGTCCACATCAGGCGTAAATATTTATTCCTTAACTGTCCGAAGAAGGCTCCTTGAAGTTGGCAGATTTGCCAGAAAGCCTCTAAAGAAACAGTTATTGACATCGGTTATGAAGAGAAAACGTCTTCAATGGGCATGTAGGTATTCTCAATGGACAGCAGATGACTGGAAAAAGTAGTATTCTTCAACAAATCGCATTTTGAAGTCCATGGCTACAGGGCAAAGTTTGTGAGACAAAGCAAAGGTGAACCACTTCGGTCAGGACATATTCAAGAAGCACACAAACATCCGCCTAAGAAGATGTTTTGAGGTAGCTTTAGTGCTAAAGGCCTTGGACGACTCATTAACGTAGAAAGAATGACGAATAGTGATAAATACATCGCTATTTTGGAAACTCATTTGCTTCCTAGTATGACAAGGGACTTTCCTGATGGAGGTGGCATTTTTCAGCAGGATCATGCACAATGCCATACTTCACGTAAAATGCGCACATTCTTTAAAGAAAGTGGACTGGAGATTTTAGACTGGCCTGGAAATTCTCCAGACATCAATCCCATTGAAAACTTATGGACTATAATCAAACAAAGACTCCTGAAAGAAGACTGTTTGACAATCGCAAAGCTAATTAGTGCTGTAATTAGGACCTGGTATCATGATGAGCAAGTGACTAAAATGTGTTCAACTTTGGTCAAATCCATGCTAAATCGTGTTCAAATGCTTGTAAAAGCAAAAGGAGGTCATATCTCCTATTAATTATATCATATTTTGTACCATTGGCATGTTTTTTTTGAATCAAAGTTTAATGTGGCAAATAGTTGTGTTATTTCAACCACTGTCCGAACTAATTTGCACAATACTGTATGTAAGTATATATATATATATATATATATATATATAAATATATATATATATATATATATATATATATATATATATATATATATATATATATATATATATATATATATATATATATATATATATATATATAATATAACAAAAAACCAAATTATTTTAAATGGTAAGAGTTATTTTAACATGATTTACTCGTTTATTCATATCGGGTTTTATTAAGGGCGTTATACACTATGTATATTAAGTTTTTGAAGTTACATTTTATCCATTAAATCTTATCTTTTGCAAAGTTAACTAAACCTACTTGCTCTTTGTGAGAGTAATTTAATTTCGGCTGTTTCTTTTTTGAATTTTAGTGTTGATGGCTTTCATATTTAAATTCACAAAGATTTCGATAGTTTCATGCTTGGCCTGTGCATATATATACATATCAACTTGTTTCTTGTAAAATCAGATTTGAATCCTCTGGCTATACTTTTATCTGCTTTTGCTTAGCGCCTCTTCACTCAATCACACTTCTTTTAGTTCTTTATCATGCTTTCTAATCAAATTGACCAAGCTGTTTTTCTTTATTCATTAGTTGTTTAATATAATAATATTAGTTATAGAAAAATGGTTTGAGTAAAACAGCTAAGCAAAGGCATTCAGTCAAAAGATTTAAAGCTGATATTACAACAAATCGTACTGATTGGTAAGTATATGCCCATACCAAACATATGTCTTATTGAGTCTTTGGCAATTAAACGATTCTAGCCATCAACACTAACAACTCTATGATTCAAAGATGAAATGGCCAAATTTAAATAAGTTTATTGTTATCTTAAAGTCATTGGTAGCTTTAATCTGCATCTCACTAAATGGCTTGTCTCTAGACCACTGACCTTGCTGGGTCTCAAGCTCAAAATTTATGTCTTTCATAATTTCTTACTAATATAGTTGTCTTTTTGACTCTTGATTTTCCTGACAACTCTAATCAGTTACATTTTCTTCCTAATTTGTGTCCTTGTTCTCTATGATTTCACTAAAGCTTTTATCTCATACTTCTTCTGCATCAAATTTACCTTATCATTGTATTTTTTACTGCTGAATTAGCGCTGACTAGTATTCTTTTTTGTGATTTTCTTTGTGATGGTCCTTAAAGTTTTATACACTAGTTTATCTTTTGAATCCTAAAAATAGGTTATTCTTCTGTTACCCAAATCACTCTTATAATGAACTTTGATTTCAAATTTATACCCATTTAAACATATTTTTATATTTATTTTGAAGAGTTAAAAACTTTGTGTTTAATCATTTAGTAAAAGCTAAAACTATAAATTAAAATATTTAAAAAGGTAAAATATTAAGTTCAAGTATTTTTATTTTTATTCTCAACCTAAAATACAAATAGTTATATTTATATTTGGAAAACTTGCTCTAAATATATTTCTATTTAAATATGTAACTAAGAATTTACAATTAAAGTATTTGTATTTGATCAAATGTATTTGATCCAAAACTGGTTAACTGTGCATATTATAAATAGAAACAATAAACAAATATTTCAAAGAATTGTTATTTTGTTAATTTTGGCTATGAAGAAAAAATCTGGATTTGTTTGCATGGGTAAAAAATATTTTTTGTTGTGTGTTATAGTACTGCTTGCTATTTTTTTAAAGTAATTCACTACATCATGGCTGGAAGGCTTTTTATTTAAATGGAGTTAAATCCTTTTTAGTTTTTAGTTGACTTTTTTTCCTCATCTCAACTTTGGATTTATTCCTTTTTAGTTTACTTTTTTTCTTATCTCAACTTTATATAACTTTGGAGCACAAATCTTGTCAGACAAGTTATTATAAAGACAAATTTGGTGTTTTGGCTAAGAAAGGAGTTTGTTAATTTGTATGTTTGCTGTTTATTATTCACTTATATATTCTCCACATTTTAATTTTGTTTATAGGTTCGCATTGCAGATCTTAAAACTAATAAATCACAAACTGCTTATGGAACTGGGATTTATTGTGTTTCGTTATGTGCAAAGTATGTCTTTTAAATAACAGATTTTATTTTCTGTATTTTTTAATTGTTAATTATATAAACTGATTTTTGTTTGCAGTACAACAGGAAAAGGTATTCTCTCAGGTCATGCTGATGGAGCTATAGTTAGATATATGTTTGATGAAAATGGAACTGGATTTTCTCAGGTACCTTACTTCTTTAGAATATAAGATACTTATTTATGGTTTTCAAGAGATAATGATACTTAAAATTAATCTTGTGAAAACGGTCAACAAGTTTTATTTTTAATGATCTTGTTAAAAATAAAACTTGAAAGAGATAAACAAAAGACATTTTTCATTGACTAAGTGAAAAATAATTTTTTTTCAACAGAAATGTTTCTAAAATTAAAACACCAAATTCAGCAAATACAAATTAAAATATAAATATTTACAAACATAGTTTCATTAAACTTATAAATATTTATATGCATTATTTCAAATAATTACATACATGGTTTCAACTAGCTTAGCTAATAGTAATTCTGAGGAATAAACAAGATTTGCAGTTTATGTAAAAAATTTATTTATAAACTTTATTAGTGTTATCATTTACCAATAGGGTCAAGTTGTAAAACATTCATGCCCTCCATATTCTCTCTGTTGGGGTTCTTCCATTATGGCTGCTGGTTGTGATAAACGGATTGTTGCTTACAGCAAAGAAGGTATTAAAATTAACTGGCATTTAATAAATATTTGTAAGATACTAAAATAAAGCTATAAAAGAAAATTATTTTTATAATTTCTTTAGGAAAAATTTTACAAACATTTGATTATTCAAAAGATTTGGATGAGAAAGAATTTACTGTTGCTGTTACTAGCCCCAGTGGGCAATCTATTGTTATAGGAAGTTTTGATCGCTTACGTGTTTTTAATTGGAGTCCTCGAAAAACATTATGGGAAGAGTCTAAGTCAAAAGAGATGAAAAATTTATACACTATAAGTTCATTAAGTTGGAAAAGGGATGGCTCTAAACTTTTGGTGGTAAGTAGGAAGTTTCATTATATTTAGAATGTTTTAGCATGTTTTTTCTTATTTTAAAGTGATATTTTAAATGTAGGGTACATTATGTGGAGGAGTGGAATTATTTGATTGTTGTTTAAAGAGATCAGTTTATAAAGACAAGTTTGAAATGACATATGTAGGATTAAGTCAGGTGAAATATTTAATGTTTTATTTTTAATGTTTTATTTATGTTAAGAATATATATAGTAACAAGTCTTGTTTTCTCCCTTAATCTTAAAAACTTTTTAATAATTTAATACTTTTATTTTATATTTTTTTTTTTTTTTTTTTTTTTTTTTTTACTTCACCTCCTCAAGGCCGAGAAGGCCACTACAGACAAGGAGGCTACTTATTTTTTGGCTATAACCCTCTCTCAACTCTATAACTCCGAAACACGAACCTTGACGAACAAGGCCGCTGCGCGGAGAAACGAGTTGAGCGCGGTACTACCAGGGACGTGGTGGGGATCGAACTCGGAACCACTCGTTTATGAAGCGAGCGCTCTACCACTACACCACTACAATTTATGCACAAAATGTATATATATATATGTATGTATATATATATATGTATGTATATATATATATATATGTATATATATATATATATATATATATATATATATATATATATATATATATATTTTTTTTTTTTTTTTTTTTTTTTTTTTTTTTAATTTTATTTCACCTCCTCAAGGCCGAGAAGGCCACTACAGTCGAGGAGGCTACTTATTTTAAGGTTATAACCCTCTCTCAACTCTATAACTCCGAAACACGAACCTTGACGAGCAAGACCGCTGCGCGGAGAAACGAGTTGAGCGCGGTACTACCAGGGACGTGGTGGGGATCGAACTCGGAACCACTCGTTTATGAAGTGAGCGCTCTACCACTACACCACTACCGCATGTATATATATATATATATATATATATATATATATATATATATATATATATGTATGATATATATATATATATATATATATATATATATATATATATATATATATATATATATATATATATATATATATATATATATATATATATATATATAAATGTATATAAATATATGTTAGGGTGTCCCAAAAAATAGGTTTTTTTACGCAATCAAAAGCATGGTATATATTCTGGTTATATACCTTGAGTAAAAGATAACCACCAAGTTTTAGATCTCTAAACATATGGAAAGTGCTAGGTGTAGTTTTTCATTTTTTAATAAATATTTAATTTTCAACCCATTTTCAATAAATCTGCAAAAGATTGACAAAAATTAACAAACAAAACATAGTATATTTCTTAGAGCTCACAAGTTGTTTGAATCCTTCTTCAGCATTCACTTGTCAACCAACTTTCTGTTGTCAGTAGCCACCAACACAATGTTTTGTCTCTGACTGCAATGTGACTATCTGCCAAGAAGTCTTGAACTAGATGGATATTTCTCTCTGCACAATCGTTTGTACATTGGATATTTGAGACAAATTTATTGAAAAGCTTAAAACTGGGCTGGAGGTCCACAAATGTCCCAAAAGAAACCCAAGACAATACATCTTTTTTGCTGAGGTTCAAGATAAAAATCAGGTACCAGCTGTTTTTCCCAACCAACTCATTCAGCTAAGTATTCTTGTCAATGATAATGTCATTTCTGATATCTGGTTTCTTAATATCAAAGTAAGAAATATCCTCTGGATAGGGGTATTTCAAAAGTTCCTGGATCATTAATGCTTTTCCCTCATCATCTACATTTGAATCAGCAAGTTACACAATAACAACATCTTCTGCCAAGTACCGTGTATATCTAAAAAGAGAATTCTTAAGACTTCTACCTAGATTTCATTGTATTCTTCTACGCTTTCAGCAACTTTAATAGCCTTATGATCATTAGAAGGTACCTGTGATATGATTGATGTCTTGAGAAACCCAGGAATGTAAAATACAGCAACATAAGGTGCAACTTTATTAACTTCTTCTCTCCCCTCCTCTGTCATCAACATAAGTGTTTTGTTGGTGAGCTCAAGTGTCAGTAAATATATCCCATCTGCCATAAACCTAGCTTCATGGCAAGCAGGGGGCTGCACAGTGGAAAATAAAGGTCTGTTTTAGATCAAAAATCAATAACTTTTTTGTTACTAAAGATAAAGTGTTAAAATTTTGCACAAATGTAGAGTAGTATATGGGGCTTTTAAGGAAATATTTTATAAAAAAATTTAATATAAAATTTCTAAATAAAAATCAAAAACCTCACAATTTTAATTTTACAAAAATCAATAACTTTTTTGTTACTTATGATAAAGTGTTGAAATTTTGCACAAATGTAAAGAAGTATATGAGGCTTCTAAGGAAATATATATATAAAAAAATTAATATAAAACTTTTAAATAAAAATTAAAAACCTCACAATTTTAACTTTTTTTTTACTTTTAACTAAGCATGTTCTTTTTTAGAAACAACAAAAAATGCTTATTTAGAAAATATATTAATATTAAATTTATATAATAAAAAAACATTTATACGAGCTTTTGGGTTGAAGACAAAAAAAAAAAAAACTTACTTTTTAATCTTATAAACAAAAATTTTCCCTATATTAGGTTTAATTGCTTTACTAATTTGATTTTTTAATAGTTGTGTGTAATTAATTAATTTGCATATATTTAAACATTTACTTGATTACATGACATATATTTTCAAGAGTTTATAAAATGCTTATTATAGCAATACTCAGAATAGTTTGTTAATAACAATTTTATACAGTGAGTTTTTATGGAATAAATTATAAGTCGACTTTCAAAAGCTGCAAAGTATTTTCATCGAGTTCTTGGACAATTTTGCTGTACGGTTTTCTAATGCTGGTGATGTAGGGATCGAAAGTGTACAGAAGAGTATGAAATACGTCCTCATCGTAGCTAATCTAGAACATTTCCTGGCATAATGAAGGCAAAAATTTTTATAATCTTTATTACGGGATTCTTGGGCATCTTCTGAAAGTTGCCCAATAGACAGTACTGCAAAATGTTTTATGATATTTTCTCTATGAATTAAAATTTTGTGTACTGAAGACAGCATAAAGTACCAGCTATAGTTACTCACATAAAAGTGGTCAGTTTCTATAGCATATGTCCCGAAACTTTCAGCATTTATCATAACACCTGAGGAAAGAGCTTGTAGAGTTATGTAAAGTTGCTTAATCAAAGTTTCATTTACTCCAGTGATTTCAGAAGAGCAGTTTGCATTGTAAAAAATCTCCTAGCAGTAAACCATCATTGGTATTTTCACTTACTTGTTTTGGTTTGTTGACGATTAACCCTAGCTGCTCACGAAAACGCTTCTGTACCAAGGTCTTCTTCTGTTTCTTTTGTCGTTTTTTTTCTTTACCTTTAGCTGACCATGTTTGGAAAGACGGTTGTATGAAATATGTAATATCATTTCCATACACCGAATCCAGGCATGTAATGTTGACAGTCCATATTGATACAAACTTTCATTTTCAGGCCTAGCAGACACTTTAGTCAAATCATTCATTTGTCGTGGAGTAGCTCCACACATTGTACAAATAGGCGCAGAAGACGTATTCGTTAATACCTGAGCCACTTTTCCATCTATCATTGTTAAAAAAAGTTCATGTTTCACTTGTATTCCTTTACAACTTTTGTTAATTATAGATGGCTGTAAAGAGTATATTTGGCTTTTTATTTCATTTATAACAATTTTAATTTTCTCAGGAGTCTCTTTTCGAAATTCTATGCATATAGGTCGACAAAAATGTACAGAAGAAGGAGCCGGATTTTGCCAAACAACTGTGCTAGTTACTTCATCAACTAATTTAATTGGTACCAAAGAACTAATAAATAAATTCCCATCAGAAATAAGTTCAGGTTCCATCAGAAGTTTCTGCTTGTACTCCCTTTGGCCAGAGGAGCCATCACAACCCCATTTACTTTACAAAATTAATTGTTTAAATTTATTATTGTATAACGGAATCTATAGCAAAATTCTATCTACAGTGTGATCCAATAAATCTTGCAGTTCCATAAATTTTGTGTGTTTGTAATTTCTATTGCTGAAGATCGTGGATAGCAAGTTTGTTTAATTTCTTGCAACTTGTAATAGGGTGGGAATTAGGAACAGTTTTTTTCGTCTGTCAACTTCCTCAAGTATAAATATTGTGCTTTAGTTAAATCTAAATCAACAAGCACGCTGAGTGCTTCTTCATCTGTCAGTAAAACGTTTGTTTATGTTTTCCATAAAACTTGAGACAGAAACCCTTTTTTTTTTTTTCGGCAATCCTTAATGTTTCCACAATCTTTGCTTCTGTTTCTTCACCTATTGAACGTAATGCCTGAAGATATGCATTAAAGATATGCTCGAATACAGTTTTCTTAACTGATGTGGAATTTTTTCTTTTTTTACTGGTCTCTGACAAATCTCCATAAGACATGCACGGTCTTCCATGTTTTTCAAATGATGTAGATGGCGTGGAGTCTGTTATTGCGTTTTTCGGTTTTGGTAAAAATACACTGTATTCCGAATCTAACCAATTACTGCTGTTAGATAAAAAAGCGTCCACTTTCAATGACGTCTTGTTCCATCGTTTATTAAACGACGGAATAATGTTCCTTTGAATATCACTAACAATGAAACACAAGCTATCCTGAGAAACTTTATAATTTTCTTTTAAAATTATTGATAATGTCTCAGTTGTTCTTCCTCTATCAATATAGAAAAGTAATAGTTGATGTTTCAAACACTTAAAAGCTGTCATTTTAAAAAACTCTTTATATAATATTTTTTAAATGACGCAGTGTTCCCAAATTGCTGATAAAGTTTTCACCACAAAATGCAAAAATAATTGAATGTATGTCCATCAAAAATTCTCAATAAATTCTCAATAAAAATCGGACAAAAAAACTTTTGTTATAAACAGATAGTCTGAAACCACGATAAAAAGTGGTTTTTTGATTTTTGATTTTTATTACTTTTTTATCTATAACTTTATAAACCACACGTATCCGCACCTGATTTTTAGTAAATCATTTTTTATAGAAACCTAAGCAACTAATTAATTATAAAAATAAAGCGTCGGGAAGCCTCGGTGACTGCCAAAATTATCAGTGAACGTAAAGTTCACTGATAATTTTTCTTTTTTTACTTTATAGTTCAATTAATTATTTGAACTATATTTGAACAAAAAACATTTATGGTACAATTTTGTGCTACTATTTTCCACTCTGGGCTGGTGCAGTGAGAAGTCTGGAACTTCATAACCTAAGTAAAATGAACCTAACTCACATAACCTTTTGTAGTCTTTTCTGTCCTTAAAAAAGGTATTCTTGATGATTGCGTTTCCCAAGAAATCCTTGGCCTCCTGTGCAGTCTGATGCATGAATGATCCAGCTTGAAAAATGTTCCAATTAAATCTGTTAAAAGAGTTAATATCCTTATTGCACACTTTAAAATTGTCTGGCCAGTTTTTTTTAAACCTTGCATAAAGGTCTTTTCTCGGTGCTTTAGTCTTTCCAGTCAATGATTGCACCAAATGACAAATGTGTCTCTCATATATGTGTCTCTCATATATGTGTCTCTCATATATGTGCCTGCGGCATAAAAGCCACATAATATGCTTTCCAATAACTTATTTGCTGATAAGTTGATATGCCCAATTATGAGCACCAGTGTTTAAAGCTGTCGTATCTGCACAAAAGGCAAAAATATTTTCCATTATTTCAAAGTATTCCAATGCATTCTTTATTTCTTTTGTCTGTTCTTTTCCTTTGGAAGAATAGGCTTCAAAAACCCCTAACAAGATGTCGTTACTATTATCATCTTCAGGAACTGTTACACTAACTGCAATCCTTTCCTTTTTTACAGTAATATTATTTTCATAATCCATTTTTTTGCACAATTTGCTGTCAAAGTGTAGGACAAGTTTTTTTACCAATTAAAACATCCTTGTAGCCAGCTCTAATTTCATCTCCCTTGTTCTTGATTGTCTCAAATCTTTTCCTATGGGTTCCAGATTTTGAAAGAACAATTTCTTCCATGTCGTGCCCAGCATGCCTTAGAATGGAAGATAATAAAGCTGTGTGACCCCTAACACAAAGCTGAAATCTTGTAGCTACCTCACTGGTAGATTTTATTAATCCATCCGCTGATATAGACAGCTCTAGCTTATCTTTTCTCTTTTTCCCAGTTGATGGTCCAGGCTCTTCAGGATCTTCATTAGTTGATACATCAAAAAAAAAAAAAGGTTGTAACCTTACAGTCTGTACTAGGAACTTGACATGTAAGCTGGTTGGAACTCGTCTGCAGAGGGCAACAAATATTAGACTTAGTTGACTTGAACCTCAGCTGCTTTGAAGATATAATATATTACAGTATCTTCTAAGTATATCTCCATTTGTGGGTAATTGTGACTTGGGAAGCTCTTTTATGGGCCTGTCTAAAAGATACAGAGGTCTCCTTGGATTCTCTACTACACTGTATACTCGTTTCAGCACTTTTTCATCAAAATTCTTTTTTTTTCCTTTTTCCCGTCCCCTCATTTTTTTTTCATTGAAAAATAAATAAAAAGTACATTTAGGATATGTTATTGCATATTATTAACTACAATAGTTTCGGTTTGTTATGGTTTACAGTTCAACATTTTCATGTTTCACACAATATACTTTGTACACTTGTTATCGTTAAAATGATATATTTGTACCAAAATGCTTTTGACGCGACTTTCTGTGAAAATATTTAAACAATTAGTAAAGACGATGATCTTCTCTTCTCGACAATTCATCGTAATCATCTAGCAAAACTTTTTATATTTGAAAACATTGTTATGAATAACATAAACATTGACAAAATGTTAACTTTACACAAAAAATCATAAAAAATAATAATATTTGGTGTTTTTCAGTTTTTACACCTAGCACTTCTAAGGGTCTTTCAACTCTCAAATTTGTTAAAATTACTTATTTTGTCATAAATAACCAGGAAATTATCTATGCTAATTTTTTTTTTTTTTGGAACACCCTAATATATATATATATATATATATATATATATATATATATATATATATATATATATATATATATATATATATATATATTTATATTTATATTTATATTTATATATATATTTATATTTATATATATATATAAGCCACACTGTTTGCTAATTGATAGACCACATGGTTTTCTAATATTGTGTGGTCCTAATCTTCTATCTTCATTTTTTATAAAAGTATTTGATGAACAAAAAAAGTTTGTTGCAATTTAAAAGAAACATATTTATTTGGCGAGCTTTTTTTTGAGCACTCTTAAAAGTATTTGCGTGCGTGTAAGCAAGTGCAAAATGGCTTGAGCAAAAAGCCTAGGCCAAATAGAGAAGACTATATATATATATATATATATATATATATATATATATATATATATATATATATATATATATATATATATATATATATATATATATATATATATATATATATATATATATATATATATATATATGTATATTGTTGCAGCAAAAAACTATGAGAATTTAATTAAATACAGGTTATTGTTAAAAATCTTGAAAATGGCAAAAGGGTTGTATTAAAATCTCACTATGGATATGAGGTATTTTTAAAATTATTATGTTACCAGAAATTTTTCTCAATGGCATCTTTATATTTTGGAAATTTTTTACTTCATAATGTAAGTCTTTGTGATTCTCATCACTTGATCTGTGATCTCTCTTTTTTAGTATCTTGTTATGAAATTATAAACACACACATACACACACACTGTGTTCAACTTTATTTTTTATATCTGAGTTTGTTAAACACATTTATCTAGATAGATAAATAGTATAAAAAATATAATTAAAGTTTAGGTTTTTATGTGTAAAAAAACTTTAAAGCATGCTTATTTTGATGTAACTTTGTTGACTTATTTATGATAAAAGCATGCTTATAACTTGCTATAATTGTGTTAAGACTTTCATTTTAGCTTTTTATATCCTTATCAAAATAAATTTTATTTGCACTGACAATTTTTTTTTAGATGCAAACTGAGATAAAATATTATAATTGCATTCAAAGCATCACAAAACTCATAAGTTTTCGAAAAATATTGTTGTTACTTTAGTTACTTGCAAAAGTTTACACTTTGGCCTGCTTTAAGTCAATTTAGAAAAAAAAAATATATATATATATATAACATAAGTCTGTTTAACTTTTTTTGACTTGACAAAATGTGTTAACATAATCATTAGAAATGTTTCCATGATACCTTTTAAAAGATGGTTTGTTTATTTTTAATTACTTTAATGTCAATTGAATTGATATTTGAAGGAAGATATTTAAATATAGTTTTAAATATTTTAGTTGAAATTAAACTTGCAAATTTTTTAAAAATAAATTTACTTTCAACAAATCTGCAAGTAACCACTATTCAAGTTAGAAGAAAACAGTTAACAGATGACTTTAAAATTGTATGGAGTCAAGAAAACACATAATTTTCTCAACTTTCCAAGATACAATATATAAGGAGATCTTATGAAGAAGAACAAAGAATAATAATTATGATGACTAATTAATCAATTTTTAGAGGGATAGAGAGAATAGAAATTGTTAGAGATTGCTCCAGAGTTTTAAAAAAATATGAACCACAAATGTCATTTTTCAGCAAATAGAAAAACTAATTAATTAAAAGCTTGGTAATTATTTTTTTAAATATTGATTTTTTTTTTAGAGAAGTAGTACAACTGAATATTTTCTGTATCACAAGCTGTAGAAAACTTTATTTGAGTGTCAACTTTAACAATGGAAGCCAGAGTGCTTTGGATGTTAAACAATGAGTTAACCTATTTTTTTTAGATGTCAGGAAGAATGAAGTCATTAGATTCAAAAAAAGTATTAGAGGATAATATTTTGGCAAATAGTTTGACCTTATTTTATACAGAGGTATTAAGGTTAGAACCATGTATGAGAGGTGGAATGTTAGAATTGCATTTGTTAATAACACTATTGAACATTTTCCAAAAGTCTTTAAAATATAACTTCTGAAATAAAATACAAGATTTGATAATCACAGAATAATGGAGCTTAGCGTTAATGGACCATAAACAAAATCTTTTTTTGATTTTTTTGCAATGATAAAAATGCATTCCTTTTCAGGATTTGTTCTTGTGATAAAGATAAAGGAAATTATTATGATTAGAAACAGAAGCTGCACAAGAATGAGATGGAAGCAAAGCCAAGGCCAAAACATAAAGATAAAATAGAAGATTCCATGCCTGATATTTCATTTCCAATAGCTTGGTTATCGTACTATGTTTGGTACTATAGGCAAACCATTCAATGTGCAATCCAAGTTACCAATAACAACAATAGTGGCTATGGATCTAAGCAAAAAAGCTTGGTCAATTTGATCAGAAATAACACAACAAGAGTTAGTCTTGGTAAGGAGGATAAAAATAATGAACAAATAGAATAGTGATTGGATGAAGTGATGTTAAACAATAATATTCAAAGAATTTAAACTTTATTTCACAATAAATAAGGAAACATACATGCCTGAGCCTAACAATTGAATGTTAAAATCTAAATGAATCAAAGGTATCCTTTAACACTAAGTTCCAAAAATGAAACAACCAAATTTAAATTATTCTTACAAAAACCAAGTAGGTCTAGTAAATTTTTCAAATTTTTTTCTATGGATAAAAAATTACTCAGAAGACCAAATGTATATATAAAAAATAGATAAAATGATTTGGTGTTAACAATGGTTTTTGATGACCTTAGCATTGCACATCAAAAGCACAGTACAAAGACAACATTCATGCCGAATATTTCTATGAAAAACATGAGTGTTATACACTGTTTAAACTTTTATATTTTACTCCTGTTGATAGAATCAGTCTCTCTGAGAGCTATCACAATTTGGAAACCTTATTACCAGGTCTATTTGATAAAGAGGAGAAGTGAGACTGATAAAAAGAAATTTTCTGCTTAACTCTAAAGTTTTCTACTAATAATTCATTTAACTGGATTACAGTTTACCCGATAAGAATATTTTTCAGACTAACACTAATATTTATTTGGCATTTTTTTATACTGCATCAAAAGGTATAAAAGATAAGTATATCTAAATTTGTAAATTTAGGGAATATCGTACTACTAAATAACTTATAAAAATTAGTTGTTTTTTTTATAGTTAGTAAAAAAAGTAAACATCAGGTATACAAATTGAAACATCTGATGTTTAGATTAAAACATCTGATGTTTAAATTGAAACATTTTAGGTTTAAATTGAAATATCAGATGCTTAAATTAAAACAGATGTTTAAATTGAAACATCATATGTTTGAATTGAAACATTAGATGCTTAAATAGAAACATTAAGAACGAGCATATTAAATCCAAAAAAAAATTAGATAGATCTCTGTTGACTAACTTTAATCTGACTATTTCTACTGAATATATGTTTATGACTGTATAGATATAAGAATTTTATGTAAAGTTAACCAAGGGTAGTGCCAACATTTTTTGGTCTTTAAGATAACTAACTTCCAGACATGGAGCAAACTCCAAACATTTATATGTTTATGCTTATGTCAAACAAGGATGCTTTGCAAAAAATTGTGATGATTGGAGCTTGGGAACAAAAAAGCCCCAAAATTTTGGCCCCATCCTGCCCCAAACCTGAGAGCAACAAGTTGATGAAATATTTTTGTACTATATTTAACTAGACTTATATTTATCGATAATTTTTAAATTTCATAGTAAAATATTTTAGCGTTCAAAAGTTATGACCATATAAAGTTTAAACCCCCCTCACTTAGGGGGTTTGCAAATTATATATTGTCATAATTTTTGTACGCTAAGAGATAATACTATGAAACTTCAAATTTATCAATGAATATAAGTCTAGTTGAAAATAGTACAAAAAATGTTTCATCAACTTGTTGTTCTCACGCTTGGGGCAGGATGGGGCAATAATTTTGGGGCTTTTTTATTCCCAAGCTCCAATCATCACAATTTTTTGCAAAGCATCCTTATTTGACAAAAGTATAATTATATAAATGTTTGGAGTTTGCTCCATGTCTGGAAGTTAGCTATCTCAAAGACCAAAAAATGCTGGCACTGCCCCTAAAGTTAACCGAATAGTATAAATTTATAACTATAATTCAATAAATTAATTATTTAAAAATTATATAAAAAAGTTTCAAACAAATTCTTAACCATTTTTAGTTTTGTTAAAGTGTATTTTTTAAAATCTGTTATATGTTGTTTTCAGATTGATGAGGTAAAGATTATGGGAAAAGATCGTTTTTTAGTTGCTCATACAACAGAGACTCTACTTGTTGGTGACTTAAATGAAAATAAATTAAGCGAGGTTAAATATTTTATTTTAAATGTTTTGCAAATGCTATTTATTAAAACATGGCTTATTTAATTTTTTATTTCTTTTTTTTAAATTAGGTACCATGGCACAATTCTGGTGGAAATGAGAAATTTTTTTTTGAAAATGAGAATGTAATTTTTTTGATTTTTGTCTTATTTTTAATTGAAAAAGTTTGAATTTTCAAAAACCAAAGAAAAATTTTTTAGCTAAAAAACTTGATATATCAGAAACGGTTCAAAATATATTTGCTTTGGTTTGTATGGTTTTAGGTTTGCATGGTTTTTAATGCTGGTGAGTTATCACTTGTAGAGTATGGTCAAAATGAAGTTCTTGCTACAGTTAGAACTGAGTTTATCAATCCACATCTAATTAGGTAATTGGTTGTTTTAATATTTCTCAATTATAAATATTATTCAAATTTTTTTGTTATTCAAAATAGTTCATTGATACTTCCTAAGTGATAATATTAAAGAATTGAAATTAAAATAATGATACGTTATTGTTGTTATCATTATATTTATTATTATTGCATTTGTTTTATTATTACAATTATAGAAAAAGTTTGACAAAAGCATGTTGCACATAAAAGTATAAGTAAATTTATATGCATAGGTTGTTTCGAGTTTTATTTGTCAATACCTTTAACAAATTCTTTTATTCGTCAATACCTTTAACAATTTATTTTATTGGTCAATACCTTTAACAACTTGTTTTATTGGTCAATAGCTTTTACAACTTGTTTTATTGGTCAATACCTTTAACAATTTATTTTATTACTCAATATCTTTTAACAGTTTTAATTGTCATTAAAATTAAAGTGTGCGTCTGAATGAAAGGAAGATAAAAGACCAAGATGACAACAAAAAGTTGGCATATTTAATTGATCTGAAAACCATTTGTGTCAGTAAGTTAGTTGTAATTTGTCTAAAAGTATTTACAAAAATTAAAAACATTAAAAATCAGAACTTTTTTCTTGTTTAAACATAAGTCATTTTTATTTAAATTAAATTGTTGTCTTTAAATAAGCTGAATTTGAATACTTTTTTAATACTTTTTTTTTGTGTGATACATTTTTAATTATTTTTAGTGAATTTAAAATCTGGAATGGCATTAGCAAATGTTACCCATGATACAAAGATTGATTGGCTTGAGGTAGCAAATTGTTATATATATATATATATATATATATATATATATATATATATATATATATATATATATATATATATATATATATATATATATATATATATATATATATATATATATATATATATATATATATATATATATATATATATATATATATATATATATAAAGATGTATATATATATATAAAGATGTATGTTTATATAAACATATGTTTACTAGTTTTGGTTATCATATCTTTATAGCATACAGCTTTTTCAGAAAAAAAAAAAAGTATAGTGAAAGAAAATATTACTGCTCCATGCCAAACCCTAAGTTGATGTAGTGGCACTCCTTTGCAGCTGCAAGGTATAAGATAGTCGATGTATGTACTGAAGCCCCTAGCAGCAGACTATTTCAGTGTGATGTCATAGTGTTTATCTAAACACGCATTTGTTGTATATATATATGTATATATATATATATATATATATATATATATATATATATATATATATATATATATATATATATATATATACACACACACTTACTAAAGTGTATTTTTATAAGCATTTGCTCACTTTTTTTGCTTACCTTAACCCATATGGCTTTTTTAGAAAAAGAAGAAAAAAAACGAAGAATGGATGAAACGATTGCTGCCCCATCCCAAACCCTCAGTCGATGTAGCAGTACTCCACTGCGAGTCAGGCTATTTGTCAGTCGATGTATGTACTGAAGTCCCCAGCAGCAGGCTATTTCAATATGACATCAGATTGCCTACCTTTGTACGCAATACTATTTGTATATATATATATATATATGTTTTTTGCCATAAAAGATAGCATTTTTCAAAAGAAATTTTAAAAAACGTTTGTACCTCCATAAACGATTATGCCCTGACTTCCCCAATATATATGTATATATAGCAAAAAACATACCAGGCATTGGTAAAATAGATTCCTCCCTTTAGCTTATTTCAAAAAGAGTGCCTGTTGTGTTTCAGAGAAGTTGTGCATAACAATGTTTATTTTGATAAAAATATAATATTTAAATCATGTTTTTCCAGACTTTCTTTTAAGGAGTAAGCTTTCTTTTGAGGAGTTTGATTTCAATTTTAAAGATAGGTGTTATCAACGTTATTTCATCAAGTGAAAACCATTTTTGACCAACATAACCTAATAAGCAAGCTATGAAACTGTATTCTTTCTAAAAACTGTCCTCTGGAGCAGAACCGCATAGACGCACAGGAGGCATAACCGCATACTTTTGATATTTATCAAAGTTAGGTTATGAAATGGGGTTTATGGAATGAGGCTTACCCAGATCAACTGCTTACAAATAAATTGTAAAATTGGAGAATGGATCTATAAAAAGAAAAGTTTAAAGTGGTCGAATTGCTAAGGTAGCTACTAAAAAAAGTATTCCAAAGATTGCTGCATTTTTTGAAAATAAGTCAGGGTGCTCCCAAAAGAAAGCAGCTCAAGTTTTTAACTGTAGTCAAACTCAAATTTCCCAAGTATTAAAAATAATGACTGACATTCGAGTAGATCGTAGCCATCAGCAGAAGAAAGCTATGCGTCCTAAATGTTGTACATTGTACGAAAATTATAAAAACTTGGATTTTGTTATGGATGATGAAAGGTATTTTACCTTAAACAATAGCACATTAGCTGGTAATGATAGGTTTTATGCCGCTGATCCTTCTCAATGTTCTGACGAAGTAAGATACAATTTGTGTAAAAAGTATGAGGACAAGCTCTTAGTTTCTTGTTGTATCAGCCCCCGTGGAATAAGCCCTCTTTATATTCATTACAGTAAGCAGGCAATCAACCAGTACACTTATAAAGAGATACTAGAAAAAACTTTACTTTCTCTAGTATCAGAATATTATAAAAAAGACAATGAGTTTATCTTCTGGCCTGATCTAGCTCGATCACATTACGCAAAGTCAGTCATCGTCTTTTTAAAATTGAAAAAAATCAAAGTTGTACCCAAAGATATACACCCAGCTAACGTTTCAGAAGCTAGACCAATTGAAAACTTTTGGGGTGATTTAAAACGGCTAGTGTAAAAGAATAATTGGAGAGCTGAGATTTTAAAAGGGCTTGAATTAGATATTGCTGTTCAAAGATGAATAAAGAATATTTCCTTACTCAAATAAAACATCTTTCAAAAAAACTTTATAATATTGCTAAATATGGTATTTGAAATAATTATTTTAATATATTTATAAATTACATATACTAAAATAATCAAAAACAGTTGAAATATTAAATAATAAAACTTATTAGTTCTTAAAATATTAATTTTTAAATTTTGTCCAAAGTTTTATTTATGAGGTGTTTTATATATATATATATATATATATATATATATATATATATATATATATATATATATATATATATATATATATATATATATATATATATATATATATATATATATATATATATATATATATATATATATATATATATATATATATATATATATATATATATATATATATATATATATATATATATATATAATAATTATTATGAGTTTTCATATTTATTTAAAGATGAATGAAACTGGAAGAAAACTTCTTTTTAGGGACAAAAAACTGAGAGTAAGCTTTTTTTTTTTAGTTATTATTGTTATTAATTTTTTATATTTAAACTCAGCAATATGATCAATTAGTAATGAAAATGTCAAAGTTACTTATTAGTTATATAAAAAAAAATTTCTTCATAAGTTTAACTTCTTCATTTCACCTGTTACATACTATTATTCACTTATTATTTCACTTTCAAAAAAGTCAGAGATGGGGCTCATTTCCAACATTGTCAGAGGTGGGGCTCATTTTCAACATCAGAGGTGGGGACTCATTTTCATCAGAGGTGGGGCTCATTTTCAACATCATCAGAGGTGGGGACATCAACATCAACAGGTGCTCAACATCATCAGAGGTGGGGCTCATTTTCAACATCATCAGAGGGTGACATAAAAAAATTAAAAAAAAATAAGTTTATTTACAATCTTATGATATATTTAATTTGATTTTCTTAAACTTTTTTCAATAAAACTTGATAAATTGTTGGTCATATCAATAACATTAGTTATTGCTTTGTCATTTGTTTATTGTTGAATAATTTTGTTTAGGTATAAATTATACTATTCTTAAGGGGCAAAAGATGCTTTTAGTAAAGTTATTTATAATATAAATTATATATAAAGATTTTTGAAGTTATAATATAAATTATATATGAAGTAAAGATAGTTGTTAAAACATATTTTAAAATGTTAAAATAGTAACTTTGAAATAAATCTTATTAATAGGTATTTTTTAATATTTTTCAAAAGCTTTATCTAGCAGATATCCAGACTGAAGCTAAAACAATTATTTCCAATTATTGCTCTTATGTGCAGGTATTTAATATCAAAAAAATATTTTTTATTGAATGGTTGATATGATTGATCATCATATAAAAATTCTATTTAAAAATAATGATGTTTTTTTTATTTTCTACAATTTTAGTGGGTACCAATGAGTGATGTAGTTGTTTCACAAAGTAGAAGTGACCTATGTGTATGGTATAATATTGACTCACCAGATCGTGTAACAATGTTTCCTATTAAAGTATACTTTTTCTTTAGTTTTTCTTTATTATATAAGTTTATTACTGTTTAAATAAATGATCATTATTTTAAATAAGTCAATTGTAATAAGTTATTTTTAGGGTGATATTATTGATCTCGAAAAAGCAGATGGCAAAACAAATGTTTTGGTTCATGAAGGTGTCCAAACAGTTAGCTACACTTTAGATGAAGGTCTCATTGAGTTTGGAACTGCTATAGAAGATTGTGATTATGATAGGTAACAATCGTCTTTGTTTTTAAATTATTTATGTATCTATCTGTACTTGGATAAGACCATTTTAATACATTTTCTTAACTTGACAAAATATTCAACCATATCAAATAATGAGTTCCAAAATGTCTTATGGTCTAAATTAAATTTAAGTTTGTAACCAAATTCTGATTTTACAAGCTTCTGTAACATAACGTCATTTTTAACAGGTGATTTTTTAAGCAACTTTTTTATTGTGCGAACTTTTTTTAAAATTGAAAAATAATCTTTTATAACAACAGACTCTACTGAACTATTTTCAAATTCAATGATATAAAGTACTTCCCCTACTGGTAAATAGATTGTATGGGTATAGCAGGTGTGATGTAGTGGATTGATTAAACAGGTAAATTTAATGATAACAGATGCACCATCTGTAGTTGTAATAGCAATATCACTATTAAATTCCAGTTTGAATTCACTTTTTACTTACAATCTCAACAACTTTTTTAAATAGCATATTCCTGACAGCATGTACAAGTCCAAGATTATAAAGGTTTCCATTTGTGTGCACATTAATGTTCATATAATGAAGCATTTTAATTAAAATTTATTAACAATCAAGCTAAATCTTAAATTTTAAGCTTTTGTGTCTTTTAATTCAGCTGTTAATTGAGCCTTAATGTCTTTAGTTGATTCAGTATAATATTTTTATTGGAAATTGAACTAGTAGGTATTTTTGTCCTTTAACTAAATCAAATTCTCATAAACTATTAATTTTAGCAACAGTGTTAAATGAAAGTCCATCAGTTGGAATGAGATCTGTTAGTATATTGGCAATATTATCTTTTGTTTAAAAAAATTTCCAATATCTTTTTTGGATGAACTTTGAACTATTGTTGAAGGATGTAATAATGGCAATTCTATTTTATGTTTAATCTTTAAATGCTTTCGCATAACACTTGTGCAGACTCTTTTGACTGTTACAATGATGTTACAGGTTTTGCATTGAGCAGTTTTGTTTACTTTGCACTTTAAGAAATCCTCCTAAACAAGAGCATTTCTTAAATTGCTTTTAAATTCTTGGAAAGTTATTTTAAAATTTTCTAAATTGCTTTGAAATAGTATAGTGCTTCAAAGTGTAACAGTTTAAAACTATGTTTAGGCTATAATGGTACGCAACATGAACATTATAAATGGTAATTATATGTAAAAATAATTGGATCTCAAAAAAAAACAATAAGGGTACCCATTGGTTCTGGATCTGGCTATGTCCTAACTCTAACCACTGTGTCACAACTGCTGCTATTTAATATTGAATAGCTTAAACATAAATTATTATATAAATATATAAAATATTTTTAGGGCAGTTGCTTTCTTAGAAAATTTAGAACTATCTCCTGAAACAGAAGCAATGTGGAAAACATTGACAAAGGTAGCCATGGAAAAAAAACAACTTTTTATTGCTGAAAGGTAAGTTTATTATATGTTATTTTAATATTAAAAAAAAATTCCAGTTTTTTAAAACAAATATTTTTTAAGTATATAGTAACTTAAAGTTAGTTTTGTAAGTTTTTTTTTATAATATAGATAATCCTTAAAACTGAATTGATCTAAAATTTAAAAAATTGACATAAAAACTCTACTTCCGATTGACAGGCTTCTAAAGATAGCACATAGGTTGTTCCTAATTTTTTCAATATTTTTAATTGATTTCAAAGATAAAAATACTATTTTTTTTAAATATTTTTATTGCAAATTTTTTCTAAGCAAGGCTTCAACCAGATAACAAACAAACTTTAAAGTAAAAGAATATTGTATACAATTTTATGGAATTCAAGTAGCTTTAACTAGAGATAATAGGTCTTTAGAAAAACAACACTTTGGAGAGAGTTATTTTTTGCAATTTTTAAAATGAACTTGATGCATAACTTTTATAAAAAATAAAAGCGGAAAACTCATAAAAATATGGAATTTTTAAGTATATTTCCATTTATAGATATACCAATAAGTTTTTGTGATAATTAAAAGTAACTGAACTAACCAATGTCAAAAGAAGATATTCTTTATTTTATGTCTAACTCATAGTAGAGGAAATTTTATGTTTATCTAACATTTTATATATTACTTAAAGGTGTCATGTTTATCTAACATGTTTTGTGTATTACTATATAGGTATTATATTTTACATGTTGCTTTTTAGGTGTTATGCTGCCCTTGGTGATATTTCTCGTGCTCGATTTTTGCATAATATAAATGATCTTATTGATGAAATATCATGTACTACAGCTGGTGATCCAATGTACCACCCAAGTGTTTCTGCCAAATTAGCAATGTTTGAAAAACAGTTCAAACTTGCAGAAAGCATTTATCTGGAGCAAGGTTTAGTTGATGAAGCCATGGAAATGTATCAAGAACTACACAAATGGGATGAAGCACTTGCTATTGCTGAAGCTAAAGTAATTTTTTGATAATTATTAAGTAGGGTGGCTCTTGAAACAACATTTTTGAGAAATATTTCCCCTGATTTCGTGAAAAGTGTTCCATTTTGTAAAATAACACTAATTTACAAATATTTCCTTTGATAATATATATTATTAAGTAACATATACAATCTTGTGAAAAATGTAAAAAATATATATTTTTTATAATTTTAACCTTATTGCTTTCTTATTTATTTAAATTCATTTCTTAATTAAGAGACATCCAGAGCTAGAAGCTTTGCAGACTACCTATTTTCAGTGGTTAATGAAATCTGGACAAGAAGAAAAAGCAGGCGAAGTATTTTTATAAATTTCTATGTATATATATGTATATTTATATATGTGTATATTATATATATATATATATATATATATATATATATATATATATATATATATATATGTGTATATTATATATATATATATATATATATATATATATATATATATATATATATATATATATATATATATATGTATATATGTATATATATATATTTATATGTATATATATATATATAGCATTTATTTCTCGTTTTATATATATATATATATATATATATATATATATATATATATATATATATATATATATAGCATTTATTTCTCGTTTTAGCTTTTGTGACTCTTCTTTATTTGATATCCTAGCTACTAGTTTGCTATCACCAGCAAAGGACTAGTAAGGATATCGGTATGAACCTTGGACAGATTATTTATTTATGTAGACTATAAACAGCAGTGGTCTAAAAGCACTTACATGGGGTACATCATAATAAGCAATATTTTGTTTTCTATTTTTTTTTTTTGAATACAAGTTCATTTTTTTCAACAGTGGGTCAAGCTTAGTCATTAGAGCAGGTCCAACAAATTTTACAATGCATTTTTGACCTTATTTAGAAGAGAAAGGGTCTTATTGTAAGAACCAGCCCAAATATGACAACATATTCCTTAAAAGGACAAATAAGAGATTCATAGAAGTAGACAATGGAATCAGAATATGATGAACACAAGAGAGGCAACCTTTGCAGATGCTAACTTTGCAATTGATTGTAATTATGGTTTGTATGAATCAGTAGTGAATGATATGGTTTGTATGAATCAGTAGTAAATGATAATTTGAGAAGGCGTAAATTAGAGGGCTTAGTAAGAGTGTTTCCATTTATCAATATAGTAATTTCAACAATATTGTGATATTTGTTAATAGTTTTTTTTTACACTTTCCAAGATATATGAAGCAAACTTATAGATAAGATCAGAATGCTAGAGGTTATTAAAAACCTTTTAAAAAATATAACCACAGATGCCATTTTCCAGCAGGAAGGAAAACAAGATTCTTGTGAATACTTATTAAATAATTTAGATAGTAATTTAGAGAGTTCTGGATAACACATTTTAGAAGATTGTGACAGTTATCTGGACCACAAGTTGCAAAAGAGTTAACAAATAAAAACTAGTAAGTTAATAAGTAATAAGAAGTAATAAGTAACTTTATCAACAAAAGTAATGGTGATTTGGATGTCTGATGTTTTTCTTTAAGATGACAGGATGAGCGTGTTCATTAGATCTAAGATAAGTTAAAAGTAAAGTTCAATGCAAATATTTTCACTTGAGAGAGCTAATAGATAAGATTTATGTATAAGTGGTGGAATCTTAGACTTGCTTTTTTTTAATGAAATTGTTAAAGATACTCCAAAAGTCTCTGGAACCTAACTTCTATATTAGGTCTATATTATCTTGATGCAATTACAAAAGATCTACATCTACAAAAGATGAATATTTTTATTAAGATACCCTCTTTAAACTTTACTCACCCAAAAGCTCCAAGACCAAGGAGGTATTTTGATTCAATGTTGACTTTTTCTAGTCTTTGTCTAGAAAAGCATATCCTACAATGCAGTAGGACAAGTTATACTTGATTTTTACTAGTTGTGTGATCATTATGATCCTAATCCCAACCTTACCTTAGGTGACCTATTTGCAAGAAAGTTTAGTATTCACTTTTTCAGTTTTCCAAGTCTTAGATGAGTGTGTTAAAAAATCTGTCTGGATTCAAGCCATCATTTTAAACCCTGAAGTATGAAAAAGATATTATGAACAGTGTTGACTTGTATCTATGAAAGTATATATACCAAACCTGATTGAGATTTTTTTTTAAGAAAAAGTTATTCTTAAATTTAGCACAAAAATGTTTTTTTTTAATTGTTAATTTCTTCATTTTCAATTGTTAATTGCTTTTTTTCAATTATTAGTTTCTTCATTTTTAATAGTTAATTTCTTTATTTTTAATTGTTAATTTCTTCATTTTTAGTTGTTAATTTCTTCATTTTTAATTATTAATTTCATCATTTTTAATTGTTTGTTAGGAAAAAAAAAATTGTAAAATTTAGAGTTTATTTGGTATCTGAATAATTTTGTAACTTTGGTTTCTAAATTTAATTATTTACATAATTTACTAATAACTATAAATTATTTAATTATGTTTGTTTGGGTGTGAATTTAATGAAAAAGTTTTTTAATTTTTACACTTTTTTAAAATTTAAAATTAGAAGAAAAAAAAAAAAAAATATTTTTCAACATAATACTTCTTTTTTAATTCAGGTTAAAGAAAACAATGGTGAATATGGAGAGGCAATTAATCTTTACTTAAAAGCTAATCTTCCAGCTCGTGCTGCTCGATTAGCTCTAAGGATACCAGTATGATAATTGTGATTAAACTGCAGTTTTTACAAAATAATGTTTGTTTGTTTTTTTGATAAAAAAATTGTTGAATTGTTTTTTGTTAAATAGAGTCTTTCATCAGATAATCAGCTTCTTGAAAGAATTGCATTATCTTTGTTAAAAGGATCATTTTATGAAAAAGTAAGTTGAAAGGAGAAATAAAAATGTTTTATATTTTATACACCCTATAATAAATTTAATAAAGTAATGCTTACATTAAGTGCAATTTTATAGTTATTTGTACATTAGTTAGTATATGCCGTAATTCACACAATTAATAGCGTCTTATGATTAATGTATTTGTTAATAATGAATAGAAAATTTAAAAATGAGTTTATTTATATATATATATATTATTATTTCATTTATTTTAGGCCGGGGAGCTGTTTGAAAAGACAAATTCATATCAAAGAGCATTAGAAGCATATAGAAAGGGTAAAGCATACAGACGTGCAGTCGAGTTAGCTCGCTCATCTTTTCCAAAAGAAGTAATAAGACTTGAAGAAGAGTGGGGAGATTATCTAATCAGTCAGAAACAACTGGATGCAGCAATTAATCACTTTATTGAAGCTGGGTAATTTGAAATTGTATTTATTCAGTACTTTATATACAAAAACTTGATAAGTCTTATTATTTACTACTTTTATCTTTGTTCTAACTTTTTTATGTTTTTATATTTACTTTATTTTACTTTTTTTTGTAATAAAATTTATTTAAAAATTTTTTTTAAACAATAAAGATGCTCAGTAAAAGCAATTGAAGCTGCTATACAATCTCGTCAATGGAACAAAGCAGTTCAAATAGTTGAGCTTCAAGATGAAGAAATTGCAGATAAGTATGATTGTCTTTTATGATAAACTACTATTTCAGAGAATATTTTAAAAATAAGCAATGTTATTATAAGTAATAAGTTATTTATTAAACTAAAATGGCTTTTTATTTTTATTTTTTTATTTTATTTTTCTAACTGTTTAATTAACCAACATTAACAGCTGAATTTATTAATTTTTTTTTAATTTTTTTTATTTAAATGTCAGTTTAACAAATTTTATATTAAGCAAAAAATTTATATTTAGTAAAAATAAATTTTAAAAAGATTTCAGTTAAATAGTTTAACTGTGTACATCACTGGATTTAAGATTGAACTGTAAGTTCAATCTTAAATCCAGTGATGTACATTAAGTTGTTATAAGCTTATAACTTCAAAATATTTATCTTTTCAAAGCTAAATAATATTTATTTAACAGATACTATCCCATACTTGCTAAGCACTATGCCCAGATCCAGCAATTCCAGGTGAGGTTTTTTTTTTTTATTTTTTTACATAATAATATAATTAATAATTTTTTTATTTACATTAGCTATTAATAAAGACCATTAAATTTTTATTAGCTTGCAGAAAGGTTTTATGTACAAGCTGGTCTCACTAGAGAAGCTGTTGAAATGTATACAAAAGCAAACAAGTACGATGAAGCTCACAAGGTGCATTTTTCTTTATTATTTTTTAAAAAAAGTTATGTTTACTGTGCCATTTGGTTAATTTTTCATTTGAATTTATTTATCATTAACAGTAGAATTAATTTTGTAATCATTTGCAATGGAGCATAAATGCTAATGAGATAATTTATTATGAATTTTTCTATAGCTTGCTATTCGATGTATGAATCCAGAAGAAGTTTCTAACTTATATATCAGTCAAGCAGAACATTTGGAATCTCAAGGAAAATACAAAGAAGCTGAGAAGTAAACCAAGTTTTTTGTTTTTAAATTAATTATTTTAACTTTTTTTTTATAATAAAAAATAATGATATTTTATTTATATAATATGTTTACTGTTCCATTATATTTAAAATTAATATAAAATAACCTCCTCATTTCTCAACTACTCATTTTTCTTTAAGAACAAAACAGTATAATTTTGTATAAAATTTTATAAAATTAGCCTTAAGTATATGCTAATATATATATATATATATATATATATATATATATATATATATATATATATATATATATATATATATATATATATATATATATATATATATATAGCAAGCCTTCCCAGGAAAGGCGTGCGGTTTTTTGTCTCGTACGACCACGAAATCGTTTTTTAAGTTAGAGAACGTGATCACGGCCGTTTGCGCAAATTGCATTACTGAAAAATTGTTTTAAATTTAATAACAACATAAGAAATTAAAGTAAACTTAAATAGAAAACAATAATAATAGTTCAAATAATTTGTGTGTTGTTTTTATTTTTGTTTTTTCCCAGCGGTTACTATTATCGGCAACAAAATTCATTAAGTCAAAACAAACAAAACAAAAAAACGGTTTTAGGCGTTAAAAAGGATGACTTTCCCATATTTTATGTGTTTTTTCTTTTAAAGAGGAAAGAGAAAATATGTATCGTCATCTGTTTGTAAAATATATTTGTATAATTATAATGTAACAAGTTTATATCAAGACTTAAATTATACGATCGCGATTTGCAAACTCTGGTAAAATATTAGGTCTTTAAAATTTTAGTTCATGCAAAGCTGTGTACTTTGTTTATAAGGAGCAAATTATAAAAAGTTTGCTAGCAAGAAAGTTACAAAAAACAAAACAAAAACAATAAACTTACGACTACAAAAGTAATAACACTTTAGTCACTAACTGCATTATAAAAGTAATAAAACTATAATAGTGTTGCTACATTTATAAAGCACTTATTACTTTTAAAGTTCATTCTTTGTTCAAACAACATTATTAGTTCCAAACATTTATTAAAGTAGAAAAGCATCTAGAAAAAATAAAGCGGATTTTCAAGTATTATTAAAAATTCCAGGAACTTTCACATATCACCCAAATAACGTCATAAAAAAGTACTTTATAAAAAGTATAGCATTATGAAAAACGTTACATAAAACGCGCGTTAATTTTAAAATTAACCAATAAAAATTTTTTATTGGTTAATTTAAAAATTAATGCGCGTTTTTACAGTTCATTAGTAAGATTTTCATAATGCTAAACTTTTAATACGATACGTTTTCATTAAGTTGTTTGTCATGTTTTTATAAGTTACTTTAGTTTTAATATTATTTGAACATCCACTTTATTCTTCTAGATATTTTTCTACTTCAATTAAAATTTGGGAATACTAATGTTGCTTGAATAAAGAATGAATTTTAAAAGTTATAAGTGCGTTATATAAGTAATAACACTATTATAGTGTTATTACTTTTGTAATGCAGTTAGTGACTAGAGTGTTATTACTTTTATAATCGTAAGTTTATTGTTTTACTTTTTATTTTTTCGCTAACAAATTTAAGTTGATTCTCCCCTTAAAAACAAGGAACACGGTTTTGTATAAACTAAAATTTTGAATACTAGATATTTTTCCAGATTTTGCGTTTTGCATTTGCTTAATTCAACCCTTGTTGTTACATTAAAATTATACAAATAAATTTTACAAACACATTGCAATTTGCATCTTTGCAATCCTCCTAAAAAAATCAATAAAAGGAAAATCATTTTTTTTATTTTAGACTTCAAACTTTTTTTTTTTTTTGCTTCGCCTTATCTAATTTTGTTGCTGAATGTAAATCTAAAGAAACAAAAATAAAAACAGTACACAAATTATTAAAATTATTAATTTGTTTTTATTTTTTTCTATTTCAATCTCTTTTATTAGTTTTGTTAGTTTTGTTAGTTTTGTTTTTTTGGTTTTGAAACTTTTTCAGCATTATTATAAAACTTGCAAACGGCAGTGTTCACGTTTTCTAAAATATTATTATCGCGTGTGGTCATACAAGACGAAAAACCGCACGCCTTTCCTGGGAAGGCTTGTATACAGGGTGTAAAATAAGAAATCGAAAGCAAGCAGTTAATTTGACCATCTAACCCTTGGAATTGACAGTCAACTGTTTTTTTTGGGTGGTCAATATTTTTATTGTTTTCTTTGTTTTCATTTTGAATGAAAACAAAGAAAAAGAATTCATTTTGGGAGGTCAAAATAGCAATTTTACTCATTTTGGGCAGTCATTGACTGTTAACCGGCCGTTATATATATGTGTATATATATTTATATATATATATATATATATATATATATATATATATATATATATATATGTATATATATATATATATATATATATATATATATATATATATATATATATATATTTAAATGCTTTGGTTGAAAAAAATGAGTTTATAAGCTGAAAGTTCTTGTTTACAATGCACTGACAAGCCATGTGAGTTGCTTGTTTGAGTGTCTGAGTAGTTTTTTGTGTGGGTTATTGTTTTTTACATGAGCTATGAGATTAAATCTCCAATGACATTACATTTTTACTATGTGTTTTAAAACACAGGATATTTTTAAAATTTACCCAATAAGTTTATGAAATTTATTTAATAATAACAGTTATGAAATTATATAAACGAAAGTATAAGTATCTTTGTAAATATAAAAAAGTGAACAAAACAGTTTAAGTAACTTAAATGTAAAAACTTTCTTTAGAATTGTTTTAAAAGTTATTTAAAAATTCATTTAAAAAGTTGTTTCAGTTATTTAAAAGTTGCCATAGGAACATTGAAATGATTCCAAAAATTATGTATTATAAAAATATGTGCCTATATAAGTTATATCAAAATTATTTAACACTGTTATTTTTATTATATTTTTTTCTATATTTATAATATAGAAATAAAAAATAAAACAGTATATTTACTACTTTACTTAACTGACATGTATTTACTACCTTATTACATAAATTTTATTAACTATTTTTTTACATTTTAATTGATGTAAACAATTGTTTACAGCAATTTACATAATTATTAAAATTACAGATAACTATAGATCAAAGTATTAAACTCATTCATTCAAAGTTTAATTGTAAATATTTTTTAAAAATGTTTACAATTCTTTGAAAAAAACTTCATTTTAAAACTTTATTACGTGCTTTTCATCAAAGTGCAAGCTCCAGATTTTGTTTTTTAAAAGTTCCATAAAATGCTTTTTTAATTTTTCTCTTGCTTTAATTGTGGTTTTTTAAACACGACTTTGAATTCGAGTTGAAATTCTACTGATTGAAAAAGTTTTACAGGTTTTATATGCCTTTCTTGAACTCGAGTCTTTACATATTTAAAATCACTGCCAGAATCTTGTTTGTCCTTCTTAATACTAATAAACTGGATAAAATCTTTGTGTATTTTTTTATTTGAATTGTAGTGCAGTAACCACTTATACCCTTTGTTGACATTTAAAAATTATAGAAGTCTTCGCCTTCCTGGCACAACCATTCTCTTTTTTCTTAAGTTACATTGAATATCATTATGATTAGTTGAAATTTGGATGGTTTTAAATTGTACTTCCTCAAAAACCACTTTATCAATTTTGAAGATTTTTTTATATTTCAATTTTAATGATTTTCCATGCATAAGTACATATGGGTGTGTGAATGTTGTGCATGGTGATTTTGCATACATAAGTACATATGGGTGTGTGGATGTTGATGCGTTGGTGTGTGGATGTTATGGGTGGGTGTAGTTTTGTTTACAACTGATTTTGTATTGTTAAATAAAAAGTCTGTAAATCGAAAATAAAGTTGAAAGTTATTATAGAAAGTCTATGTAAAGTTGCAAAACCAACTGTTTGAGTTGACATAAAGCGATATAAGGAAAATAAAACTATAAACAGAAAAAAAGGATGCAATGAAAAATCAAAATTTAATGGTAAATAAAAGCCAAAATCAATAGTTGACTTGATTCATGAAAATCCAACTCAGTCACAACAAAGTTTAGTCACAACAAAGTTTAGCTACAACAAAGTTCAGTCACAACAAAGTTCAGTCACAACAAAAGTTAGCTACAACAAAGTTTAGCTACAACAAAGTTTAGCTACAACAAAGTTTAGCTACAATGTAGTAGAACTATTAAAGAGTATTGAAAAAGGAAAATATGAAAACTTATCACAAGAAAAAGTTCATTGTATGGCAGATTATTTGCAGTTTTGCCTTCAAAAGTTCTCCTTTCATAACAAATCAAACTTTGATATTAGATCTATATTTGATTGAACACTGGGAAAAATGGCTAGATCTGGCATCTACTGAATTTTTCTGACCAGTAAGCCATCAAATCATACTGGGTAATAGTGAAAGGAATACTAAGGAAAAGGGGTAAATGCACAAATAGTGACAACAAAATTTGAGATTTATGGGTTAATACTACAGAAAAAGTGACACAAAGTCAAATTATGGATTTGATACTTTAAAAAAAATTAAATTTCTTGCATATTATAAAGTTAAGGCTTTTTGTGTGGAAATAAAAACCAAATATAAACACATCATTAAAAAAAAAAAAGTTTTAATTGTAATTTAATTGTAATTTAATTATGTAATTTTTGATATAATGCAATTTAAAATTGTCCGAATTTCAACGGTTCTTATTGTAATTTAAAATTATCCGAATTTCAACGGTTCGTATTGTAATTTAAAATTGTCCAAATTTCAACATATTGATAAGTTGGTAGAGTCATGTGTTCCTGGTTTTTCTTCTTTATCAATTCTCTTTAGTATATTTTCAGTTTTTATTTGCAATGAAAATCATTTGTTAAATTGAAAAAGTTTATTTCTTAAGATTTTTACCAAATTACAATCATAACTCTTGTTTACTTTTCATAATAGCAGCAACATTTAAATTTGTTCACAATATGGCATCCTTATGGCATTCTATTCATTCAACTCTGTCAACAACCTT